TATAATAAATTTAAAATGTCCCGATAAATGTCATTATTATTTGTTAGAAAGGTAGTAGTAGGTATAAAACTAAATACTACTTAATATATTATGAAATAATATCTAATAGGTCAAATTTTGTAGAAACATTGTTTATCTATAATTCATCCAAATAATACAAACACTTGTCTGCGAGTATTGTATTAGGTAGTGCCCTAGGTAGACTTTGGGAAACCATGTTTCGGTACTTATAATTTATCTCCCGAGTGATTCATCAAGTCATTGACACATCCATCCGCAGAAATGTACTGTCCCTATAGCAACTATAATTATAACATGCATGATGTAATTTGTTTGTTATTGTCCAGTACAGAGTACGAGGAAATCTAATAATTTTGTCTGAAGGTTTTAATTTTATCTGTTCTAATAACTATTCCTCCTATTTTGGCTGACTTCCAACCCAAAATCTCTAATTTGGAACCTATTAATTATACGTGGGTCTACGTATTAAACGAAAGGGTCTAACTACATTCTGCTTTGATTTTGGCTTGACTACAATCCATTACTAAGATCATAAGATATTTGTTAGTGTTATTCTCGCATCATAATAAAAGTTACACAGAGGCGCTGGATGCTAATCGTTCCTAACTGTTTTGCCACTGGAAGTCATTGGGCGAAGTCTATGTTTAAAAGACAGCATGTCTTGCCTACTGCTGATATGATGTTGATGACGATCGGCTATTAATAACGTAGGCATTTTAATCTAAACATATGGCTTTTAACATACATTTACTATCACGTCCGAACCCATTAAACACATGAGGCAGTTCTGTTTATAAGCACCCATTTTCTTAGCTCTTAGTTTAGTGAAATAATCACGAACTGTATGAATGAAATCGTTGTTTGTATGTAAAATGATTTGTATGTAAAAAACTGTTATGTTTTATGTAAAGAACGTTTATCTCAGTGAGTTGACGTATCGTCTAGCGAGAGCCTATTTTTACATCACACGCAATAAATTATATTCTGTTTTATTTTTGTAGAGTATTAGTAAGAAGTACCTAATAATTTAAGTTTGTGTGAGTCAACACTGTCTTTGTTAGTGACCAGCATTTGCCACAATTACATAAAAATCCCGACATTTCTTTCTTTAAGTACTTAGTGCTTATTTTCACATTGATTTTCACTTTAATGTTATTAAATAAACAGTTATATAGCTAGTATTTGGATTTGGCAATCGTCGCAGTAGGTCATTTTCTCATTACAAGGTAATTTAAACAAAACCCTGCCTTTATTTTACTTTCTGAATACGCATATCTCAGCTCAGGGACCTTGAACATACGGATGCCAATCTCGACTAAGTAAGAAGAAATTAAATATTCTGCGTCTAACAAAACAAATAACGTTTTACTAAAAAATATTGCATGGCTACTCGAATACTCCTCATAAAAGATTAAAGGAAAATCACAAGATGCATGTAGTTTCAGTACCTAAATAATAAACATAGGGTACTAATCAAGTCGCGGAGAACCTAACGGGTAACCGGGGCTCCGGCTCGACGTGCAGGAGAAGGAATGGGGTGGTTTTTAGTCAGTAAGAGTCTGACACTCCCTACCGCCTCACCCAGGCGGGAGCAGTCATTCGACGATTTTCCCCCCTTAAAAAAAAGGGTACTAATCAAAACCCGACTACTACAATACTACTACTCTTACGCAGAGGGCACACAATAATAAATTTATCAGCACAGCTCAGAATCTAGGGAAAGCCACATGGAAAGTCATCAGTAGGAACAAAACCACTATACCAAATGAATATATAATGAAAATCGACTGTAATCAAAAACTATTAACTAATCCTGACGCAATAGCACAAGCTTTTAATGACTTCTTTGTAGATCAAGTAAAATTAACTGACCATATCAATATTGACACTTATAAAATGACGATTAATAATAATAAAAACACTTCGATGTTCATGTCCCCTACTTCACCGGTTGACATCCATCGTATTGTAATGTCGCTCAAAAACACAGCTAGCACTGGGTACGATGATATATCTACTAAAATTATAAAACACGTATCCATCATTATTGCACCAATATTGAGTTATCTTATTAATTTGAGCATAGAGTGTGGGACTTTTCCCAGTGAATTAAAAATTACTATAATAAAACCGCTTTTTAAGAAAGACAACAGAGAAAATATGTCCTGTTACAGACCTATTGCTCTGGTACCAATATTTTCTAAGATTTACGAAAAAGTAATTAATAATCAAATTACTTCATATTTCGAAAAAAATAATTTACTAGTTGACAATCAAAAAGGCTTCAGGAAGAACAAGTCCATTGATATGGCCATATACGACTTTCTAGATAAAGTTAGCAGTCAAGTAGATAAGAAATTACCAGCTGTAGCACTTTACATGGACATGACAAAGGCTTTCGATCGCGTTGATCATAAAATACTCCTAAGTAAACTAAATGCATATGGAATTAGAGGAAACGTATTGAGTCTAATTGAATCCTACCTACATAACAGACGGCAAATGACAGTTATCAGTAGAATCACCAAAGATAGCGAGGTAACTTATAGGTCTGGTCAGAGAACTGTTACTTACGGCGTACCACAAGGTAGTGTCCTTGGCCCGACTCTGTTTATTATTTACATAAATGACTTTCCAACATCATCAACATATCCAATGACCATGTTTGCAGACGACAGTACCTTACTATTTGATGGTGATGACTTAGAAACATTAGAAGCAGATATAAATGCTAACATTGAATCTGTTGTAAATTGGTTAAAACATAATAATTTGATCATAAACCTAGAAAAGACGGCAATAATGAAATTTGAACAGCGAATGGATCAATACAAAAATTTAATCGTAGAATATCACGGAAAAAGAATTAATGAAATAAATGTAACAAAATTTCTAGGACTAAGTATACAGAAAACATTGAAATGGAATGTTCATATAGATAAGGTGTGTAATAAGTTAAATCAATATTCCTATGCTCTTCACATGTTAAATAAAACTGCAAACCGAAAAACAGTGTTGACAGCATACCATGGTCTAGTAGCATCAACATTAAGATATGGAATAATTTTCTGGGGGAATGCAACCGGTAAAGAAATGGTATTCAAGTGTCAAAAAAGATGCATTAGGGCTATTTGTAATCTGCAGTCTACCGACAGCTGCTACACTTTCTTTAAAGACCTCAAAATTTTGACGGTCCCCTCATTATACATCTATGAGACTGGTATGTTCGTTAAAAACAATTTTAATAATTTTGACCGAGTAACCAGTCAACGTCGTTGTGACCAGTTACACTTATTAAAATCTAGAACTGCACTATACAGGAACAGTAATTTGCAATGGCTCCAAAAATTTATAATAAACTGCCTAAATATATAAGAAATGAAAATAATATTAGACTTTTTAAACGTAAATTGACATTATTTTTAATTGACAAGACATATTATTCTATTGACTTATTTCTAAATGATAAATTTTGACATACCATCATGATTCTTATATACTTGTTTAATTTAAATATATTAATAATGCTTGGTACCTGCCTAACTTAATAACTATTTGTACACCAATTTTATTGGTAGAACATAGAGATGCTATTAATGTATGTTGAACACCCTTCTGTATAACCTGTGTTCACAAATAAATTGATTTGATTTGATTTGATTTGACAATCATTGTTCACGAGAATTTCAAACTTCAGTACCAATAAATTAATTAAATAATTATTCACAGTTATTGATTGTTATGAATAATTATTTCCATGGCCTTCAAGTAGGGAAAACCCCGCCCAACTTCAAAGTAAATAAATAAAATAAAATAAGTTTAAAGGATATGACGTCGGGTACTAAACTGTACCTTGTTCTCTTAGTATATATTGTAATGATTCATTATGCACTTAGCAAGGACCAAATGCTGTAGTTCCCAGATTCTGGTGGTATTTCGCCATGTGCTTGGAATGTGGCCTTCTTCCATCCCTAGTTGTTGGAAATCTTGTCAACCTGGGTTTTTAAATGATGAGTTATCATTACTTGCAGTAATTAGTTGTTAAAAGATCTTCTATTGTCGTCAAAACTAAAGATTTTTATTTAATATACATTTATATCTTTTTTAAAGGCCTACAGTTATCTTAGTTTTATACGAGGTAAAACCAACATAATAATAATTGTCTTCGCATTTAACATAATTATGATACAAACATGAAACCTCGAGTCCTGTTCGGTATTCATACATAGGCTAAGAACTAACTAAACCAATCTACAATATTTTAGTAAATTAGAAGTATCTAGTAATAGCACATGTGTTAGTTGAATTCTATAAAGTCTACAGTTTATTTTGGGTGCACATTATAAACATTGACTCACGCACTCTGCACCTGGATATATACGTCTGTAGAAACTATGATGATATAATTATGTTAATAGACAGATTCTTTGCACCTGTATATTACAAAACGCATAGTAGAACTTCCTGTTCAAGGCCATCTTATACTTTATACATTTTGATGTATATAGTTCAATTTCAATTACTTAGGTATGATGGTGTCGCATCTATGTTATCTATACTTTTTCTAATTTTCTAGTTTTAAGTTATCAACCGTCTATAAAGTTACATTAATCACGGACACCTAAACCTATATCTAATAAAATAGCCTAGTAGCACATACGGAATCAAATACTCTACTAAGTCATTGTTGTTAAATCAGTTACAATATTATCCGTTTATGTCTCCACCACAAATATCGTATTAACTTGCTACTTCCGCGCGGTTTCACACGCTCTGCTCAGCTCCTATTGGTCGTAGCGTGATGTTTTATAGCCTATAGTCATCCTCGATAAATGTGCTATCCAACACAAAAAGAATTATTCAAATCAGACCTGTAGTTACGGAGATTAGCGCGTTCAAACAAACAAACCAAAATACAAACACTTCCGCTTTATATAATAGTATAAGATAAGATTAATTGAATTGTCTTCATTCCACAGCATGGCAACAACAACATGGGCGAGACTGACCTAGGACACCCTAGACAGCCGCTCTTGGAGAGAAGAGGCGGGCAGCTACCTCCTCTAGCTGGTCAGTCTACCGTCATTAATTATTTAGTTTTGGTCATTGGTGCTTGCATCATCCCGAAGCTTCTTAACATATTGTCTTCCTTATAAAATAACTGTTTAAAAATACAGTACTTACCTAAAGTAAAGTATTGTGCTTCGTCACATTTTGCGCATTCACACAAAGCCTACAAACAGTACGCAGCTACTCCATAATAAATTATTATTTAGAATGCAACTGTGTTTAATGCCTTTTGGCAACAAACGGTCTAGTATAGGGTTACAAATAAAGAAATTATAAAAGAAACGTTTGATATTACGTGTTATTTCATTATTCATGGAATATATCCCTTGCTGTGCAGGTCCTGAAACTGACGAGTTAGATGGAGACCCACCGAAGGACGCCGCTCCGTTCCCTGGCGCCGACACCAGTTTGTTGCATCCTGGGGATAAGAAGCCAGGCGACCATGATCATGGTATGTGTTTAATTACTTTCTTGTAAAGAGAAACCTTAAAATCTTTTCTTTTTTATAATATAAAACGTTATAAATATACACCAGGATTTTGTCCTGTCTCCTAGACCCGAAACAACAATATGTGGATCACACAAAGAGTTGCTCCGTCCGGGAATTGAAACCCCGACACGTTGCACGGCTGTCGGTTGTCCAGCCACCGCACCAACCGTGCTTTTCATTCCGTGTTTTTCATCGCATTTTCTTCTAAATAATATCAAAGTAAGACGAACTCAAAGGCCGCAATCACAGAAATATTAATATGGTCGCAATAGAAAGTGTTAAAATTCAGCAATACTGTTCTGTCTGTCTGTTCTTCGTATAGAACTTCTCAGTATGTTTTGGGGTTTGGAATAGTTTTCATAGAATTGCTTCAGACACTGTACAGTATGTGCCTACAATTACATTATACACCGTTGTATAGTACACACTCTCCCGCGTACTTTTAAAAATAGTGTTCTACGAAATCGTTCAGCGATCATTTAGATGCCCATTTTATTCATTCACTATTTATGTTATGAGTCTCATGTACCTAATAGGGGTAGCCTATTGCCATATACCGGGCACTTTTGCAGACTCCTTGCTACTACTGAGATTTTTAAAAACCCAGTAATACTTTGCCCGACCCAGGAATCGAACCCGAGACCCCTTGCCCGGCAGTCGCACTTGCGAACTCGGCCAACGAGGCAGTCAGTTTATTTTTTAGGTGCTATTTATTTAACAGTACCTACTCAATTATTAATTTCGCAATGATATATAAATATTATAGAGCTAATCCTTAATAGTGCGTGTTTATATTAATCAACCAATCACATGGATAGATACTTTGGTTGGAGTGTTTGTTCTTTATAAAGGACGGTCGGTTATTCCCAAGGAGATAAGCGTGCAACCAATTTTTATAAATTTTAGTACAATGTTATCAGTACCACCTTGTGCCCTCTTTGAATCAGGGTCGCATGCGACGTACCTCAGACCACAGATAAGGAACAATAGTCCGCGATATTATTGTGACATTACAGTGGAGTTATCGTTGACCGCCACCCGCCATCACCAAAGGATGTGGTCCCCGGGGACAGATATAAAAATTCCTACAAATTTATACGGTTTTTGGGAACCGACAGTTATAATATAAAAAAGCATTCCCACTAAGCGGTTTATTCCAAATCATAAACATTTAATCACTTACCTACTTATAATGCATTGTTTTAGAAAAATTAAGGTTTCTGTTTTTCTATCTAAAATTATCTAATGTTTAGCAGTCTATGTTCGTAGCGTAGCCTACGTGCTACGTGCTACGGCGTAGCCATCATCTCCCATGGGACTTCAGTTATAATAATCGCAAATCGTATTTATTTTATTTTATTTAGGTACGTAGCGATCCAGGAGAATTTATCTAATACTACTTTGTACACGAACAGACACCATTATATATCTATAACTATATTTAGCTCACAAAAACAGTGAAACTAGCTTGAAGGTCATTGGAATATACAAAAAATAACGCCACACACATCCTTAAATCATGTCTATTATTCAAGATTATGCTAAATATATCGGTACAACGCACCGAGACTAGATTTACTTAGCTGTATTACTATGTATGTAAATAGTGTTATGTATTCATCAACCTATTTCAAATATATATAAAGATGAATACCAAAGACTTATAATAATAATAATAATATAATAATAATATTCTTTATTGTACACCACATAAACATAAAGGACAACAAACAATTGATATAGTGCACAATGGGCGGTCTTATCGCACAAGGCGATCTCTTCCAGACAACCTTTGGATGGAGCTGTAATAGGAGACAGATATGGGTCGTCTAGTGTACAATTTAATGACTTTAAAATAATAATAATAATGTGTAAACCATAATATGTATATAAAATATATATATATATATATAAATAAATAAATATATATATTATATGCCTACATAAATGTAATATATACCTACAAATCAAACTAAAAGTTGTAATAAATAAATAACTAAATAAATAAGAATAAAATAGAACATAATACATAATTTAACATAATGGTGTGTAAGTGTGCGTGTGTGCGTTTATGCATGTATGTGTACGTGTGTTACCATGTTAAGTAAAAGACAAACAACTATAGAGTTAGATAAAATTCCTTAACTAGTTTTTTAAATTGTGATATAGTTTGAGCTCGCCTCACTGTAATCGGTAGAGCATTCCACAACCGTGCAGCTTGTACTGTATAGGACTTGTCGAAAAAGGTAGTGGAATGCAAACAGATGTTTAATTTCAGGCTCTCCGATGATCTCAAAAACTTCGTATGTGTGTTGCCAAGGTACGTAAAACGCTCTTTTAGATAAAAAGGGTAGTGGGATTAAAGAGTATATTGTATAGAAGTGAAAGAATGTGAGTATTCCGGCGAAGGCGAATAGGCAGCCATTTGAGCTTGTTGCGGAACTCGGAGACATGGTCATATTTGCGCAATCCAAATATAAACCTGATAGAAAGGTTTTGAAGGCGCTCAAGCTTGTCTAATTGTTCTTGGGTGAGATCAAGATAGCTGGCATCAGCATAGTCGAGGATTGGTAGAAGTAGGGATTGTGCTAATGCAATTTTAGTAGTAGTGGGCAAGAAATTTCGAAGACGCCTCAAGGAGCCCGCCGCGGCAAACATTCTGCGACTGACCTCCTGCATCTGTTTAGACCAGGAGAGAGTACTGTCAATGTAAATCCCCAAGTTCTTGACTTCGTAGGAAAAAGGAATTTTAGTGTTAAGCAGAGATACTTGGGGAAGAGTAGACCAGTCAATTCTGGAGACAGCCCTTGAACTGCCGACAACCGTCACCTGTGTTTTGGATGGGTTAATGCGCAGGCCATATTTCATGCTCCAATCGCTAATTCGAGCCATGTCGCGGTTAACTAGAGCAACAGCATCTGGTAATTCTTGAAGTGAAGCTTGTGTGTAGATCTGCAGATCATCGGCATAGAGGTGGAAGGAAGAAGAGAGTTCTTTAGAGATAGAGTTGATAAATAGGGCGAAGAGTAAAGGGGATAGAACACCACCCTGTGGCACACCAGCAGCAGTACAACACCAAGAAGAATAACGATCGTCAAAGTGAATACGCTGCCGGCGACCAAATAGGTAACTACGAAACCAGTCAATAGCCGATGCTGATACGTTAAGAGAGCTAAGCACGCCAAGCAAAACGTCGAAGTCAACGGTATTAAAAGCGTTACTAAAATCGAGTAGGACAAGTACCGTCAACTTCCCCATCTCCATGCCCGACCTAATGTCATCAGTAATATTTACGAGCGCCGTGGTAGTGCTGTGCCCCGGGCGAAAACCAGATTGGTAGGGACTAAGGAGGCTGTGCCTGGTAAGAAAAGAACTAAATTGATGATGCACAAGCTTTTCTAGGATTTTAGACAGGAATGGGAGAATGGAAATAGGGCGAAAATCGGAAAAAGAAGCAGGATTTGGTTTCTTGGGTAGGGGTATTACATGAGCTTCTTTCCAAATTTGAGGGAAGGCTCTGTTGGAGACCGAGGAATTTAGGACAAAAAGGATGACAGGGGTAATTTGATCGAGGATAGGGATGATCATCTTGCGACTAACACAGTCACCACCAACGGCATTCGATGTCGTCGACAGAATGCTTCTCCTAACGTCACATTCGGCAAATTGACTGAAGACGAATGGAGAAAAATTTGGTAACGGAAGTAGTGAGAGAGAGTTTAAAGTAGCAGTTTTAGTGGCAATATCTAAAGTGAGTGAGGAGGAGAAGTGAGAATTTAGAAGATTTAAATCTAGATCTTTAGGCAAAGAGTTTTGGGTATGTTTTCCAATACCTAATGATTTAAGGAACTTCCACACTTTAGCCGGATCACTATTTTCAACTGATCTATGAATGTGTTGACGTTTGGCATTTCTGCACACCTTGTTGCACTGGTTTCTAATTGTCATATATTTTACCCTGTTGCTGTCACTAGGCTGAATCTTGAATTTAAATTTTGCAGCAGCTTTTTTAGCCATCAGGTTTTTTATCTCCTCGGTCAACCAAGGTGCTGGGAGATGCTTAACCCTGACGGTCCTGACCGGAGCATGCTTGTCATACAGATTTATAAGGGTAGCAGTCAAAATTTCCGCCTGATCGTCAACCGACACTGATTCAACCAGAGGCGTCCAATCAATGTTAGCAGCATCCTCCCGAAGGCGCTCGATATTCATGCCCTCAAAATTGCGAAGAAAGAGAATTTTCGACTTATGCTTGGGTGGACGAATATTAAAGGAAGTATAGATAAGGTCGTGGTATGAGAAGGCATCAGCTGGACACTGTCCATGTTTGACAACGTGGTTCGGAGAGGAAACTAAGATTAGGTCAAGAAGAGAAGGAACTGAATTGGGAAAGTGGTGAGTAGCATTGAGGTCAAGGATAGAAAGATTAGTAGACTTAATTAACCTGGAAAAGGAAGCGGAACGACTGTCATTTTTCAACAAACAAGTATTGAAATCCCCCATAATGATACAGTGATCATATGAGGGTACGAATGTTTCTAGGAGAAGTTCGAAAGAGGAAAAGAAATTGATACGGAGAGAAGGACAGTAATACACGCCAAGAAGAATTTTAGAGCAATGCAACTCGACCTCCAGGAAGAGGTGTTCACCAGCACTCTGAGGAGGAGGCTGCGTGGACATATTCAGGACAGTAAAGGAAATATTGTTGCGGAGATATATGGCCACACCACCCCCACCCCCAACCGCACCGCACTTATGTTCATTAGGAATATTATACGAGGTTTGTTTTTAAATTAGCTTTGCATTATATATGTAGATGTGTATTTTAAACGTTGAAGGTTTTTAATACACCAACCAACTACGTACATACATTTTACATATGTATAAAATTACCAAATTCAACTAATTTTTGACTTTGTTAGAATCACATAGAAGTGAAAATCCCAAGTTTAGTTCGACTTTCTATAACATGGTGCCCCATTCCTTTGTTCCAGATGACAGTGACCGTCACTCGGAGTTGGACCCCAGCGACAAACACTCGATGTATGGCGACGATGCTGTCACTGACGGTAAATGGTCTTCGGGGCATGACGAGACTGACCATCCTTACGGTGACTGGCACATAACACTTTATTATTTACTGTTGTACTTCGAATCATTTAATGATTACTTAAACTATTCTTAAACAACGAATTTGTTCCGAAAACCGTTGGTAAGAGCTGGTTAAGTATTGATTAATTGTCTCTGAGTACAGCGGTTACACTACAATGCAAATCTTTGGAACTATTTCTAAACAAAATAACCATTTTATATCTTGTAAATTTTTAATAATATAATAATAATAAAGAACTCAAAAGCGACCAATAGTACCTACCAAACGTAAATACGACGGCGCGCCTTTTCCAAATTATAAAGATTGTTATGTGCGTTCCAATAAACTGAGATGGGTTTATCTACATATCTACGTAGAAATATATAAGTGGGTTACATGTTACTTTACGGTTCTATTTAATTTGTCGTATTATCTTACAGTCAAACTACTAACTCGATTATGTGAGACTGTGTAAAAATTCAGTTTATTTCCTTTTCTAAATTATTATTATTTAAATTATCAGTAGGTACCTACAAATAGTAGACACAATAAATTACACTTCACGAAATCCCACAACAAACTAATTAATACTATTTTCTTTTTTTTGGTTACATTAACATTTAAGACATTATTAGATATTTACTAACATTCAAGTAGGTACTTATGTTGGTAACATAATGATAAGCTGGCGGTCAAACGACCATTAGACATGTCCAAATAGTGGTTTCCAAAAGCCATAAGGTAACATCAACACAGCATTGACAGATGCTATTACAGAAAGCAATAAGAATACCTATATATGAGAACTTACCATCTTACGCTTAGAAGTCGATGTACTCCCAGTTTGACCAGCCATTTGCATGAAATTATAATTAATCTGCATGAAGCACGCAGGTTTTGTGCAGTTTAATTTATCTAACACTAGTCTTAGGTACCTTGTTTCCTATAAACTAGAAAAGTACTTAGGGACCCAAACAATAGATATAACGATGTTTTATTTACAGACGTCAACGAGCTTGCAGCAAGATTCGGCGACTCCCGGCCTGTGTCACCCTTCTCTGCGATTGTAAGTATCCTTTAATACCTACATGTTTTAGATACCTATTTTTTTAAACACATTCATTTGCAAAATACTTTCTCTAGGCTCTCCCCGACGTGAACGTGAACACATACCAGCAAAAGAAGAACCTGGCGCAGGGTATGATGGACCTGGCGCTGCTGTCTGCCAACGCCAACCAGCTCCGCTACGTGCTGGAGTCTGCCAACACGCACCCCTACTACTACCCCAGCCTCACCTTCATCTCACTTAGTATTATCTTCCAAGTAAGTACACCACTTGTTTACATTGTTACTCGAATCTCACATCGATAGATTGAACTAAACATGATTATCCAATGTGTTTAATAAGTTCAAAGTTGGGTTACCACTCCCGGAGTAGTGAAGTAACCCAACTTTGAACTGACATTGATAGTATGCATTAATATTATCAATGTCTACGTAATGTATGATCCACAAACGGTAGTTCAGTTCGTACTACCGTAGTGAACACGTGCATTCCCCGCGCTGATGCTCTAGCGTTCACGAACATAACACCTTTTAAATATTATGGCTAACAAAATATACATCATTATCTTCAGATCATTGTCGGCGTTGGCCTCATCATGAACAGTCGGTACGACGTGAACGACCAGAAGGAGCGCTGCAAGGCTGACAAAATAAATAACATGACAGTGATCGGCATCTTCCTCATCACCATCGTCAATGTGTTCATCACCTCGTTCAGCGTCGCCACTCAGACTCCTGTCGTTACCGTAGGTACCTCCACCGCGCAACAAGCTGTATAGCCCACAGTCCCTACGTAGTGAGTGGTAGCTCACTGTAGTCAGTCATTTTGGACTAATTGCCAAACTTAGCAGACCATGCGATTGCAATTGACCAATTTTTGTTTTAGCACTGGCCATCTTATAAGCAAATGATGTGAATTCGAAACTTGCTACGATTTTTATGAAAAGTGTTTCTTTTATTTGAATTTCTCAAAAACACTAAAGCAAAACTTGTTCAGGGTCATGGTCTGAAATAACACCTGCTAGATCTTCCCTTAATCCCTTTCTCGTTACAGCTAGGGTTTTATTGAAACTGCCTGAAAAAATCTCCAAAGTATTCAAGTACTTAAATTATTGCATTTATAGGAATTAAAGGCCACAACTACTCATTTTGCTCAATTTCCCGGCTACGTTCAATTCAATAATTTGTATAAAGTTAGTTAAGTAAGGCAAAAGTATGTAAATACCTAATTTTTTTTAAATAAGTTGTTTAATTATCAATGCATTTAAATTACAACAAACTATAATGAAGTTTAAGAAACTACGGACCTGATTGCTTACGCGCTTATGAATTTAGTTTGCTTTTCTTTTCATAGTCAAGTACCTATTCATAGTCATAATAAATTAATTTCCCGCACTGATTATGCACATTGTGTATGTTACCGACCAATACGGAATTGAGGCCATATTAGTATGACCTAGGCTAAACCAGTCCAAGGCGACGGAGAGCCCCGCTGAGCGGGGCTTCCATTCCACCACCCTCAGGGTTTGAAAAAAACTTAAACTAACGAATGACATGACATGCCATTTATACCTATGCGCCCATGTCGGGTTCACCTATCGTCTGCTTGAAGTTTTGCCTAGGCCAACCTACTTGTCCTGAAATCGGGTTTGGTCGGTAGCATATCTACTAATCATTGTATGCCACACTATGGGACCAAATCCCTTGAAACTGTTGTATTTTTTTTTATTCATCAGAAACAAATTAATCATCACATAACAAGTCGTTGTATAAGAACATAACAAATCGTTGTATAAGTAGGTAATGGAATGCTAAGGTAATCTCGACTTATGGTCAATTTATACTAGGGTAGAGTCGAAGCGCATCGAAGCGTCTATTCAAAACTGAACATAACAAACAACAGGTAACGTACGCATAACTTTTGAGACTAAAAAGAAAGATGCGCGCATTCTTCGGAATTGGCACGTCTCCGCGTGACCAACGTGGCAAAAATATGAATGCCTATATAATCCATGCAGTTAATGCCCACTACCTACTACTCGTCAAAGAGTGCGCGCGTATACTCTAGAATGCGCGAGCATTCGAGCGACTTCGCTTTAGTTGTGAAGAATTTAATGCTTCGATGCATAGCATACCCTAGTATAAATTGACCCTTATGAATTCTCGTTTTATTGCCCAAAATGATAGACGAGAGGTATGCATTTTAGGTATTAAGTTCAACTATCAGATGTGCATAGCCAAGTGCAATAATTTATTTCTCGTGTCATATTCACACATTTGTATGTGTACAAAAGATCTTATAAAAATAAGACTGATTTATCATTTGCATTATATTTTGTACTTAGTTGTAATAAAAATATTTTAATTCTCATGAAATCCAGCTAATCTCATATTATAATAATAATAATTTTAAGCGCATGCATGCGGTAATACGTTACCAATAGACCTAAGTATTTATTTAGTTTTGTACATAAAAAAAAATTTATTGTAAGTTACCCGTGCAGTTTTATTTACAAATGTATAAAATAATCTTATTTGTGTATAGTGTTCATTTATTTCAAAGAGTCCTGCATTTCATTCTAAACCGACCTCAAAAAAGGAGATTCTCAATTTGACCTGTTTGTATGTATGTGCGCAATTATCTCGCCATTGGCAGAACCGATTTTGATGCGGTTTAAAAGATAAGTGTTTTGTACACCTAGGTTTTTAGTACATTAATTAAAAGAATAAAAAAAGTCGGTTTTATAAACTTAGTTTATAAAGTAATTATTATGTCCTTCAGTTATAACTGTTGTTGTTTTGTATAGATAACGGGTGTCTTTGTGGTAAATAAAACACATCCAGTCAGAATCCAAAATGTATTGAATACAAAACAATCTAATAAAATTGTCAGATGGCAATTTCAAAATATTCTATTTTAATAATAGTTAATAGTAAGAGGAAACATTGCCCGTCTGTCGCAGCGGCGGCGGTGAGCTGGGAGCGGGTGCTGGCGCCGATATATAATATATTATATAGTACCTTTGTATATTACATGGAGTGCACGCCTGCAGGGCCTCATCACATAAACTAACCTAAATTACATACACATATATAAACACGCAGGGCCGGGCGACCGACGTCACTCCGGCCACGCCTGCGCTCACTTTATAATATTGTAATACTAAACTCAATCATTGCTATTACGTGGTGGCGTTCATCCGTATTGCTGATACGTTTTGCTACACATCTCTCAGTTTGTGACATTCCGTGGGCTCGGAGGAGCGATACTTACGTCGCTGTACCGCCGGCTACAGCCGAGACACCGCGGCCAGTAGCGACTTCAATCCTACCTTCTCTCTTTATCTCCTCATTTTTAAAACCACGTGGAGTTACACCAATGTATATAAAACAGTGTCCCAAAATATATATCGGAAAATTGATTAAAAACAATAATAAAAAATCTATATATAGGAACATAGTATTGGAAATAAGAAAAAAAAATAGTTTCCTATAAACAGTCACCCTAGTTTTCAAGCTTTGAATATAGTAATGTTAGAAGCATCGTCCATTTAGTATTCACGACCAACTCTCCACATCATCTCACGAGGTATTGCTTAATACATCTGTAAAATTTAATGTCGAGCTGTCCTTACGCTAGGTAATCTATAAATAGTCTTAATTGAATTAGATATGATTTGCTTAACACGTTATCCACCGAGATGTTAACTTCCTCACATTAGGTAATAATATTCACGCAGGCAGGATAGTACTTGGCTCAGTACGCACCGGTGGTAAATACTAAATGAACGAAATTGCTCATTATCTCGAAATAATTTGGATTACATCTAATGGCGTAAATAATCTTTACACCTCCCATCAGGGACAAAGATCATCTATACCTATACTAATTACTTTGGAAAGGTACTTTAGATAGGGTGAACTACATGATAAAGGTCTGCGATCTGTTACCGGGTCCCGAGTCTGCGATTCGCAACACGACGACGATATCTATGTCTATGTGAGGGGCCAGTTTTAGTTGGATATAATTTCGAGATCGTTATTGACTAATATTATAAAATAGGCAGTGTGACCTATAAATGCAGTGTAACTTAGATAACTACATATTCCAATCCATAGTCACCCGAACAGATAAATAAGAATTTAAATACAAGTTTCGAGTAGGGTATTAATTCATCTAGTCAGAATAATAGTAAGCAGTCGCCAGCGTCCTACCGTCATAAGGCAGACCGAGAGAACATTTCTTAAGTGATTCGCTTGAATTGTTAAACTAGTTTACGGTGAAGACATAGATGTAGCGCGTGAGGAATGATAGAGACATCTTCGAGTCGCGAACCAGACTCGAGCGGTGGCGCGGGACGAGACGCGACGCGGGCGTGGTGCTGCGCGACATCTAGATGGCGTCGATGTCGACGTCGACGTCATCGTCGTCCTGGGGCTTGGCGGGCTTGGCGGGCGCGGCCGACACCGCCTTGATGGGGGTCGCCTTCGCACGGTCGTCGTATTCGATCTGAAATTTGTGTAACGCCAGTTAATTTCTATGATTTAAAACAAATTAACTTGTTGTAATTTAAGTGTTATTTATTTATTTCCAGACAGACAAGAGGTTAATATGACACGTGTATCGTACCTCGATGTCATGCTCAGAGTCGTCTCCATCGCTGGAGTCTTCCTCAGCCTGTTGCAGCCACTCTAGGAATGGCGCGGCGCGGCGCCTGACGTCGGCGATGACTTCTTTGCTCGCGTACTTGCGGGATGGCTTCGCGGCCCATTCTAGGATGGCCTTCTCTTCCACGATGTCTTCGTCATATAGCAGCTGTGGATAGAGGAAACTTGTTAAATGCATATAATTATGTGTCATACATACATGTCATATGTCGCAGTACATTTCTTTTAATGTCATATATCAATTCTCCACGGACTCTCGGTCCCTGCGTGCCCTTTGTCATACAACGGCGCGGTACATGTACAGGCAGTACGTACCTTGAGTATGGCGGGCACCTTGGGCAACAGTTCAGTATGGTGCGCACAGAGCGCGGTGAGGGCGTGCAGCACGGCGCGCTGGGCGCGGGAGTCTGCGCGGTACATGTACAGGCAGTACGTACCTTGAGTATGGCGGGCACCTTGGGCAACAGTTCAGTATGGTGCGCACAGAGCGCGGTGAGGGCGTGCAGCACGGCGCGCTGGGCGCGGGAGTCTGCGCGGTACATGTACAGGCAGTACGTACCTTGAGTATGGCGGGCACCTTGGGCAACAGTTCAGTATGGTGCGCACAGAGCGCGGTGAGGGCGTGCAGCACGGCGCGCTGGGCGCGGGAGTCTGCGCGGTACATGTACAGGCAGTACGTACCTTGAGTATGGCGGGCACCTTGGGCAACAGTTCAGTATGGTGCGCACAGAGCGCGGTGAGGGCGTGCAGCACGGCGCGCTGGGCGCGGGAGTCTGCGCGGTACATGTACAGGCAGTACGTACCTTGAGTATGGCGGGCACCTTGGGCAACAGTTCAGTATGGTGCGCACAGAGCGCGGTGAGGGCGTGCAGCACGGCGCGCTGGGCGCGGGAGTCTGCGCGGTACATGTACAGGCAGTACGTACCTTGAGTATGGCGGGCACCTTGGGCAACAGTTCAGTATGGTGCGCACAGAGCGCGGTGGGCGTGCAGCACGGCGCGCTGGGCGCGGGAGTCTGCGCGGTACATGTACAGGCAGTACGTACCTTGAGTATGGCGGGCACCTTGGGCAACAGTTCAGTATGGTGCGCACAGAGCGCGGTGAGGGCGTGCAGCACGGCGCTGGGCGCGGGAGTCTGCGCGGTACATGTACAGGCAGTACGTACCTTGAGTATGGCGGGCACCTTGGGCAACAGTTCAGTATGGTGCGCACAGAGCGCGGTGAGGGCGTGCAGCACGGCGCGCTGGGCGCGGGAGTCTGCGCGGTACATGTACAGGCAGTACGTACCTTGAGTATGGCGGGCACCTTGGGCAACAGTTCAGTATGGTGCGCACAGAGCGCGGTGAGGGCGTGCAGCACGGCGCGCTGGGCGCGGGAGTCTGCGCGGTACATGTACAGGCAGTACGTACCTTGAGTATGGCGGGCACCTTGGGCAACAGTTCAGTATGGTGCGCACAGAGCGCGGTGAGGGCGTGCAGCACGGCGCGCTGGGCGCGGGAGTCAGCCCGGGTGCAGCGCAGTAGCAGCGCGCGGTGGCGGCGCACGTCGGCGGCGAGGCTGGCGGCGCGCACCAGCACCTCCAGCATCACCAGCGGGGCCTTCGACTTCACCTCCAGGCTGCACACACAATGTACCACTCACTACCTCTACCACGAAAAGAACACCATGCGTGGTGCTCCTTGACTTGTGGTTTTAAGGATAAATAAAACTGATAGTGCTGTCAAAATGTAAATCCAAGATGACAGCTGCATATAATTTTCAACCCCAAAAACCCAATTACCCAATAAGAAAACAATATTATTACGTCAACCAGACACGCGCGCGTTAAATGTTGTAACTTTAGATTGGGCATAACGCATAGCTCCGTAAACTATCTGGCTGATTTTGTCCCAGCCGTATTCAATTCGGCTAATCGTTCAGCCGTTGTATTACAAAACTTCCCTACTTTGCTAAACGGCTAGCCGTAAAAAAAACCGATCGGGTTGAAATTTGGCATTCAGGTAGATATTATGACGTAAGCATCCCATAAGAAAATATTTTGACAAATTCCATCGCCAAAGAGACAAAATAGGGAATGAAAGTTTGTATGAAAGTCTGTCAATTTTAAACTGATCGGGTTGAGACTTTGCATGCATAAAGCTACTGTGACGTAGACATCTCCTAGTAAATGTTTTGATAAATTCCACCCCTAAGGGGATAAGAGTTTGTATAAATCTCCTTAGCCATTGAACCTACTGAATCTAGGATCATTGAATCTAATTGAAAACTACGACAGATTCATTTCACCATAAATCTCACTTAGGCACTGAATCGATTCTGATGAATTCTGCCAGAAGTTATTATTCTACGTAGACGAAGTCGCTAAAATATTATTGCTGACTGAAATATTATTCGTTTAAATATCACGTAAATCCTTATCTTGTTTTGAGTTACCAATTTAGTCAATAGAAAACTGCATTTATTTAAAAAAATGTATTAAACTAAGCATACAAACTATCAGAATAACTTTCTTGACTTATTAGCTACATAAATATATTAAATTATTTATAACAAAATAAATTTATTTTGAAGGAAATTAGTTGTATCATTACCTCCCGAGAGGAATACGTCAAGTCACTACAAGTCACCCTGTAGATGACTTTTCTATTAAAAAGTCCAGTAAAAAAATGAAAGTTTGTTTCTTTTTTACACTCCTGACTAATTCATTTGTTTATTGAAGTTTAAGACATTCTAAATACAGTAAGCTGCAAATAGGAAATTATTATTTTAGGTACACGGGGACCGCGGAAAAGTGGCCTACACTCATAAACAATGTAAATCCGGCACTGCATTTATGTCTGTAGATACAGGAGAGTGGTGACTGGTGATGTCCTAATCTGTCTAGGGTTCCCTTTAGTTACTGACCATGAAACTGATAGAAAATATTTTGGAAGTTGTATACCATTTTATGGTCTGATTGGATCCAAAACTGATATGTAGAGTTCCCTTTAGTCACTAACCGAAAATTGGTTGTTACATTTTTTGGAAGTTAATGCCATTTTGTTTTTATTTATGGTGCGATTGGATCTAAAATGGCATCTAGAGTTTCCTATTTAAACACAGAATAACTCACCGCTCAGCCTCGTGTAAGATCTCCGTGATGGCGCGGTTCGAGTCCACGTCCCCCGAGGCAGCTCGCTGCTTTAGATACGCGTAGAATAGATCCATGCGCTGCTTCTCGTTCTTCTCACTGTCCTCAGACACCGTCATGCTCTTAGCACCCTCAGTCAAGTCTGTAACACGATCATATCACAATAAAAACATGAAAAACATTAAACAATAAGTTATAGCTATACTTGTATGTATGTTGTATGTCACCTTGCATACGCGCGCGTACGGCAGCCTCGCTAACGTCAACAGTCCAGCAACCGTCGTCATCATCATCCGCAGCTTCCTTCTCCTTCTCCTTTTTGCTGGTCTTCGGGTTGGGTGTTGTAGGAGTCACGGGGGCCTCATTCTCTTGCTGCATTTGAAAACATTAAAATATCAATATTACTTCTTTAATTTACGTCATGTATAGGTACGCAAGTGTGGTATACATACGTTCTTGGCATCGTCATGTCCGTCATGGTTCCCATTGGCCGCGCCAGGCCCCGAGCGCTTGGATCGCTTGCCGCGGTTGCCTTCCGTCAGCGACGAGCCCTGCAACACGACATTGTACTTACTCACTGCACATATTGCATGGGTTTGGTAAATAATAGGGATTCAAGGAAGGTCCTAAACCGATTAAATGTTAAATGTATATTTAATGGGCTCGGACACGTGTGGATGAGGAGGGGTGAGGTCGTGTCCAGCAGTAATGTTAGTACCTGCTGGTATACCTGCATGCTGGGGTCTAGTGCGGGCGGATTCTTGAGTATGAAGGTGTTGAGTTTGTGGTTGAAGTCGAGCGTGCCATGGTACCCGCAGGCCTTGCAGCCTTGCGAGATAGTGTTACGCTTCGTCGACACGATCAGCTCCGTCTCCGGGTTGTCACACTCAGGGCACAGTACGAATTTACGGATGAACCTGTATGTAACAATTACATTTTACACCCTGAGCACTGGACTATTACCTCTTGATTGACTGTTAATGGTAAGATCATTTACCCGTCTAGCAAATCTTGCAGCTTGGCGGAGTCGTGGCTGCCATTAACGATGAATCGTTCGTTCTTAAAATCGAACTGAGTCTGCGCACCCAGTTCGCAACCGAAGTACTTTGTTGGATCTGTAACAGCACAAACATAATGTTATTACAGAATGTTAAGGGGTTCTGAGTTTTGAAGAGAAGCAAGTATTGTTTGTACTTACAAGTGGCAGGTCTTCCGAGTGCCTTAGCTACTTCAGGCATGTTGACGATGACGGTCTTGATACCGTTGCCCTTGCCCTCGACCTTGGCACAGATGCGAGGCATCTTGTACCGGTAGAAGGCATCCGCCACATTCCGGTTGACGTTCACCGACCCCATGGTGACGGCTGGCTACAGCCACGTGCTACTCCGGGAGAATGATCTGCGCGATGTCTTCTGGAAGTTATAATGATAACTCAATACAGCTCTGTTGTATGACTAAGATTATTTCTTCAAGACTATTGTTTATGTTTCTTAGGCGCAGTGCTTCAGTTTTGATGCTTTCTGGGTCGATGGCTCCTGTAGAAGCTAGTTTAGAGGAAGATGGTAATACATAGGTGTATGTACTGACCGGGTTAAAATAAAGCGGCGGCTATGGTGTGTGTGTGAGCGTGGTGCGAGTGGCTGCGTGGGCTGGTGGCGGGCGTCAGCGGGGCGGCATGCGGCCGGGGGGCGGGGCGGCGGGGCGGCGCTCCCGCGCGGCGCGCCAGTCACGTCTGCCGCAGCGGCTGCAGCTTCCGGTGCCTGTTACTGCAAAATTTTGATGGTCTGCAAACAGAGCGCCCGTCATACGCTACTAACACTGCTAGCTAACACGCATTACCAACATTTTGAAGGAGTTATCGGCTCAGTGACTTGTTGGAGATTCCGGCAGGATGGAAAAGGGACGATCCCGTCCATAACAAATCATTGTCGTTACTTAATAAGTAAACAATTTGTTTTGTAAAAAAACATAAGGCAAGTACAAGAACATGGTGTGTACTTGTGTGTATAATGACGTTCAAGTTACAAAAGATCACAACTTATATTCCGATCTTGTTTTCAAATATAAGCAGTAATCTGAAATATGTAGTATAGAAAGAAAATAGCTCGTCATTCTTGGAAGGTTCTAATTTTGTTGTAAACTTCAAAGAGAGAATCCAAAATTGGGCTAATAAAACTTCTGGGAACTGTATTAAAGTCTTCTAGAAATAATTTCCTTCAATTCCTCTCCAAGCCCCAAACTTTGTGAAATATTTACTTTCATCGGATTTCGATCGAGTTTGACAAAACTTTCGGTATAAAGCTCTGATTTCAAGATAAAGATATTTTCTTAATTTTACAAAGTTTAAATGGAAAACTTAGTAACGAGTTGACAAAGAAACATTCGAGTAAATTGAGAGAGACATTATTGATTTTAATCTTCTTCCTCCAAGTTTATAACCAATGCCTACAGATCTACAGCTATATCGGAATGAAAGAAAATACCGTCGCTAATTAAGAAGGCTTAAAAAGTAATGAACTTGTTCATTCCAACTTTCCGAACGTTTATTCCCGCAGTAGCTGTTATTTGCTTGAAAATAGTTTAGACGGGCACGAGCTGAAGTTGTATGGTCGTATCCCGGGGCATAAAACACCTAATGAATAGGTGATGTTACCTGCGGGCAGTATATCTAGGTGTATGCGTCATGCACGCTCGACGGCTGCGGGCCGGTCTCCTGGTCGCGACACACCGACTACTCTCCTCGCACTGTACTGATGTCTCTGCAATACAATATTACAACCTCGTTAATATTGATTGACTACTGACAACTAATAAATAACACTCTCAACAATAATAAAAAGTTTATGATTGGCATCTAAACAATACTAATTTACTTTTTATTACAGTTTCAAGCTGTTACCTAACAACAATTATCTCTACTTCTACATGGGGTTCCGAGTGTGTAATGCTCCCGTAATCGTTCATAACATGAAGTGTATAGGTTCTATATGCTGCAGGGTAGGAGCAGGCAGCTTCAAACAGTTTTATAAGCCCGTACATTTACACACACGCTTGGAAATGTACGCGCACTAGTACAGTCCTGCGACGCAAATAAGAGACGCATGTAAAAAATACAATCATTGCGTCACTCAAAGCCATAAAATCCTTTTATGTTTAAGATACGCGATATGAATTTATAGGCGAATCGAGCCGTGAAGCGCTGAGAGAAATGGGAATAAAATTACGTGCACGGAACGATTTCGATATATTCGATACAGCACCTGCTGCCTCGTCTGTACTACAATTTTGTTATTACTAAACATCTTATACAAAACGCTTTATGTCAAACAAGTAGGTACACTTTCATATTTGCGAGAGAAAACTTCACCATATGAGGTAAACACACAGTGGAACTTAGTTATGCAGTAAGCTAAACAGACCAATGAATACTACAAGGATACAAAAATGTTAATTGTGAATCCTATTTTGGACTTATAACCGCAATATTTATTGATAAAGTCCCAAAATTAAAACTGCAATGACTGTTTATTACTTTATTTTAATTTTATAACGTTGTTGTGATTGTGACAATGGTAGAACTGTAACAATGTTACAAGTCATTACTATTACTTGTACTAATGAACCTTGAGTACGTCCCGGTTGGACGTAGAAATATATTGTGAAGTTCAGGGCAACATTAGTCACTATCGTGAAAATTTTAATTTCATCATCACAGGGTTGAACCCAATACAAGTTCATACAGACATATTGTATATTTTCTCAAGACAATCGTTTACTACATAAGTAGATAGATAACAGCACTCCACTACATAAATTTACGCAAACGAATCAATTTATCACTTAATTATGTTTCATTAAGAATAATGCCACTAAGTAGGCAAACACTGCCAATTAATGTTTAAGCTACACAGATATAGAGCCAATGACGTCAGGACAGAGATAAACAAACTCACACTATCATGGGCTATCTCCATTCCCCGGCGTGGTCCGCCAAGTTACAGGTACAAGGTAATCCTATTACAACTGCACTGTTGACACGTCGCATTCAAAACATTACACACGCACAGACCAGCATGTAAGTGCAACATAAGAACGTCCTTGAAATGGTGCATTGTGATTGGCAGGGAGGTTCACCTCGCGCACACACGTGTGCCACTAGGCAAGTTTTTACTTATATTTTGATTGTTATGTATCGTGTTGAACTTGCCTGACATCACTGCAAAGTGCGGTGTAAGAGAGAAATGTACGCAGTCGCAGAATGTTATTGAATACGATTGTGTGCGGTCACGGCAATCGCTCGCCAATCATACTCCATTCGACACGGTTACCCGCTCCTACCATCATGTTGTGTGTTTAATGTGGTTTCGGATGTGGACAATTTATTGCTACAATGTGATAAGCATTCACATTGAATTTGCGCAGAATTTTATCCTTGACTTTTTACAATAAATCAGCAAAGAAAGCCAGCATTGTTCCAGAAAGTTGTCTTCAAGCATATAGTAAATTACATTTATTATTTAGAGCTTGGAAATGTTAGTGGTTCGCAGGTTGACTTAAAAAAAAGAAGTAAATTAGATCTTGTAGTGTACACAATGAACTAATTAATTACGAAGTAGCTCTTAATAAAGTTAAATTACCAGCAAGCGCAGCTTTCATTAGAACAGGCACTCGTGTAATTAAACTAAGGTGTTCGGTCTATGCTAGAGGCAATTAATTAAAGAGTTCCGAAGACTGGAGACAGCTAGGATCTCACACTCTATTACTGCAGTGTGAAAAAAACGAAGCTATAGCTCTTGACTATGTTTCTGTGACGTGATGAAAACTAAAAGTGTAAGTATTCTAGAAAAACTATCCAGTAGACGTGATAAGTTTATGCATTCTTTCATGGAACAAAAGCGTAACTTTATGACGTTTCATGCCTATATTTCTTGGCATGCCAAGCCGTATATGTTATGTCTATGTATACAGATACAGTATACTCGACTCGTTAACAATGTCCCACGGCTGTCTGCAGCCACTCAACACTGGAGAGGGCGGATCACTTCAAGATTTCCGTCATCCGTTGTGCTACAAAAAGCCAAGATAAAACTAGATCACACGGTTTTATTGTCAACATTAAAAAGCAGGATGTTATCTTTACCAGCTTTTTGTAACGAAAAGTTGACCATGGAGTCATCAACATGCGGTATCCGTTCTGGCATAAACTAGGCATAATTTTACAGGAACATTGTGGTTGCAAGTGCAAGCGCACTACATAAATGGGATAGAATAGAGAGCGAATTCACAGTATTTTGAGTTTGGAAACAAGTTAATGTCCAATATGATGGTACTGCTTACACTAGTCACAATGAAATTACACCAGTATTTCCCGTAATGGTAGTTTGAGTGCGGTCATAAAAATATCTTTTCATTTCTTGGCCCACTACTGTAACTGCCCTGTATAAAGAGCCGCCCGTCCTCCAATTACACCGTATCGGGCCCGCAATGCGCCATGCTTGCCGCGCCTTACACCGCACTACTACTCTACTATTATTCATATGTAATGCCCAAAACTTTCCGCAATAATGGACGATATACCAATTATAAACTAACATGTCTTCTACTACCACATAAGGTTGTGCTTCTCAAAAATTAATAAACAGTTGAATCTGAAAACTCAGTGCTGACTTATGACTGACGCACTGCAACCGAAAATGGTCGTTTACAAACATAAAGAAATCATTAAAGTTAAACACGTTTATTCTTTCACATTTCAAGAGACTAGACTAGTAGAATTCATTACAAAAAGCAACCAATTCTCAAAAGTAATGTAGGATATGAGTATGAACAGCTATGACTGGGTGTCACTGGTCAGTGAGTATCTCGTTACAATAACAGGAAGCGAGTAGTATGCATTACCAGGGAATTCGCACAGTGACCGGACACTGCAGACAGAGCGGGCAGCGCGGCCGGATAGCATAGTACACGAGGTATTCAAAACACGAGACAATGCTGTTTGGACGGGCGAGCAGCGGCCGACATTCATAGACTGTGTCTAGAGGTGGTAGGTCTTCATTCATAAGCGATAGCGAATTAAAAACTACGATAGTTTAATGTAATTATAACTAGCAGTAGCACTGATATCTGTCAGCTACCAGCAAGCTAATAAAAGGCCGGAACGGCTCTATTAAAACGACTGTTTTGTTGGACCCTGAGCCTTAAAGTTAAAAGTGAAAACTTACTAAACTACAAGTAAATATATACAGAAACAAACGTCTTTCAATCAAACAAAATAAGTTAATAAAACTTTTTGTAATATCGGTATTTCCGTAACTTGCGCCAAAGCATTGGGTATCAAATGCGGGCAGATCCGATGTAAGCAATACTGGCGCGGGTGCAACCCGATCGCGCCGGCTTCAGCTATAACTACGATGACGCGACGACCCACACTTATTGCGTTTTCAATTAATTAATATCCGTGCCTTGGCCACGCTTAGCTATTCCATCGCTAGGAAATTAGGAAATGGAAGACTGAATTTGCAATAAACGGTTTAACCCAGAATATTAATTTGAGTAAGTACAATATTTCAATAGGGTTGGAAATGGGAATGGATGGCATTGTAACATGAAATGTAAAATTAGGTCAGATTTGAATGTAACAAACAGAACATGATATAGTCAAATAAACAACTCTAATGGTATTAACAGTTACATAATTCCAC